GTCTTATTGCAAGATCGGTGAAAAATAGTCTTCTAATGACAGACGGGAAGGGACTTTTCATTCATTTGTTTTCATTTGTTAGACAGGTAGGAAAAAGACACAGACCTATGTGTATGAACAGCGACATCTTACACTAAATCAAGAAAGATCCAAATAATTGAAAGGCAGTCACTTCCTTACACCCTCCCCCACAGGTTAAGACCTGGGCAGTCCCAGCAGGAGGGCAGGGAAGACTCACCCCATGGTAAGGTCAGCCGTCGTTCTGCCTGACCAAGGGGGGCTATACCCCAACATTACTGCTCTTGAGAAATGCAGATGCATGTACGTACATGTGCGTACACACACACACACACACACACACACACTGTCCCAAAGGCACCTCATATCGGTGTGCGCGCGTGCACACACACACACACACACACACACGTCTCAAAGGCACCTCATATCAGATAGAACATGATTCTCTAAAAAGACTTAGGTCCCAGTGCAGTGCTGGGGCAGCAGTACAGACCAGCCCTCCTCATGGCCGTCGTCCCTGGGACCCTTGGGGTCCTTTTGATCAGGCTCTTCGGCAGGGTTCCTCGTCCTTCAGAGACATTCTTATACCTTTGAACTCACTGACAGAATTCCAGTTTTGATCATCTTCCTTCCAAGAGGCTCCTCTTTCCCCAGGCCAAGTGGCTCCCACCTCGCTCTGCCATCTTTAATGCCTTCCCAATAGTAAGTTGGGGTTGGGGGGGGAGGCGGGTACCAGCTTGTCTTGAGCAGGAGCCCTGCCTCATAAGCCCAATGAAATCAAATGAAACAAACAAAACCGAACATCCTTAAACATCGTGTCCACACACTTACCCCGAACAGCAGGCTCCTTCCCGACGGGAAAGTGCCACTGAGAGTACTTCTTCCCAGAATGAAAATGGTTTTCTCATTTTCAATGGCATTTTCTATTTTTTAAAAGTTCACCTCGTTAGATACCCATATTAAAGTATGTATATATTTCTGTGTATTCACATTCCCCAAAGAATGAATTACCTCTCCCTTGGCTCAAAGTAGATTTGATAGTGTGTCTTACAAGCTAGAGAAACATATTATAAAGCAAAGTAAAAATTCCACCCTAATGGACAGTTAAGCTCATAGTCAAGCTCAACTAGTATTATATTTCCAGCTCAAACCTGGCTGGGTATCAGAAACACCTATGGTACTTGTATCTTATTCTTATCTTTATCGTTGAGAGCATTACAGTTGCTCCCCCTCTTCTTCCCCCTTGGCCCCCATCACCGGGTCCCCACCCCGCCCCAGGCCTTTGCTGGGCTCCAACCCCAGATTCAGTGCATCCGCTATTTGCATTTTGACCCTTTCTCCAGGCTGGTGTGATGGCAGCTGCTGTGGCGCATACTGTCCAGGGAAGACCAGGCCCCTCACGCATCCAGCTGGTCATTACCCTGGAACAGCGTGCTCATGCCCCGGGCCCCCCAAAACCAGGCCCAGGTTCCAGGAGCAGAAGGTGACGTTCAAAGTAAAAGGCAAAGTCAGAAAGGCATCGCCGCCACTGATCTTAGAGGCAGCACCCTCCTGCTTCTGGGGCCCCTCTCAGTCAAGGACGAGGATGTGAAAGCAAATGCAATTGTGGGAAAGAGCGCAGAACACTTTTTATTATATTGCCAAAGACTAGACTCGAATGTAAATCTGAGGAAGTCACAACAGAGGCCTCTTTCATGAGCAGAAATGGAGCGGGCATTTCTGTGCCGCCCGTAGATCAATCAGAGGAGTCGAGGCCCGTGGCGTGGCCTTCACTGCGCTGATGAACTCCGGGGAGTGGGCAGCCTTGGCGATCGCTGAGCCAGCATCTCCTTGCCACCCGCTGGGAGCGACACAGGGAACAGAGAGCCTGGGCACGGTCTCGTCTCCCTGCCCACAGGTCTGCGCATCTTAAGCTGTTTGCTGAAGTGCAGCGGCTGCAACAGAGCCAGGCGCCTCTAACAACCCCGCTGGCTTCTGCGGATTGGCACTGAGAGTGTGAATCGGTGTGCTAGTTGGTGTGACGATATGTGTCTGGGTTGACAGAAATCTGGGTGCTGGGAATGATCTCAATCACCATGGTAACGGTGTTTTAAAACAGGAGGATCTGCTCAGAAGTAGACAGAGGCATCGCTCAGGGGAATCCGAGAGAGCTGGGACCTTCCTCCCCATTCCCCTTCTGGCCTGGGTCACCAGCGTCTACCAACTACGTTACCAGCTTCAGAAGGATCTTATTTGTATTGAACAGTGGCAGCTGGAATACGATGACTGGTGATTAGAATCCATACTGGCTTCAGAATTTTAAAATTAAAAGCAAAAAATAGAAAGGACTCCATTTCCGGCCCTGCCAGAGAATACAGTTTGTTTTATGGCCACTCTACCTGCCGGAGTCTCAAGTTCTTCAGCAATAACCTGGGAACAGTATCTCCCCTTCCTCCTCGCAAGGCTATGGGCAAACACATGTTATAATCTGGGGAAATTCACCCAAATGTAAGACACCATTGGGTTAAGCTTCTCCCTTTAAAATGTTTTCTGTGCCACGTGTCATAGAAGCGTATGCTGTGGATGGCGGCGGGTTAAAGATGTGAAGGAAGTGGCTGGAGGGAGTGATTTTTCAATGTGAACGTGTTCTCCCTGTTTCAAAATACAATTCACATTTATTCTAATAGCCCGTGACCTACATTTAGGTGTATTCTTTGTACCTTGCTGATTCCCACGCTGTTCTGTTCTGTCATAGGCGAGGACAAAGAGGGGCTCTCCCTGTCCAGCCTGCAGCTCTGTGTTAACGATGAGGCTGGGCCAGGTAACAGGGAGCTCACCTCCTACCCCCTCATTATCGCCACGGGCCTCCGGTTGCTTCCTGCTCTGTGTGAAATGCTGAGGGGAGGCAAAGGCTCAGGTCCTCTCTGCTCTTCTCCCTGTGACCTGCCAATCACCACGTGCTGCTGAATGTGTCCTAAATCTCTCACATCAGTCCTTTCTCCCAGCACAGAATATTGTCACTCCCGAATCACAGAAGTACCCAGCTCACTGGACCAGTCCCTGAGTCATGTGCTCTGACCCCCTACCGTCCTGCCGACCCAGTCTCTCCTGCACTCACCGTGGGGGGTAATCTTGACAAAATCTAAATCCGTACACATCAATTCCTACTTACACCTTGGATGGCTCCCGGTGCCCCAGAGCAAAGCTCGGACTGTCTGGACATGACAAAGGTTCTCCGGCTCTGAGGCCCGGGGTAATCTTGACAAAATCTAAATCCGTACACATCAATCCCTACTTACACCTCGGATGGCTCCCAGTGCCCCAGAGCAAAGCTCTACTGTCCGGACATGGCAAAGGTTCTCTGGCTCTGATGCCCACTCACCTCTCCAGCATCTCCATGCGCACTGCACCCAGCAGTGCCCAACTAGCCCCAATCGCCAAATGCACCCTATACACTTTCCAAAGTGCCATGCTTTCCCTGAGTCCTTCCTTCACTCCTTTCTACCTGGAAAATCCCTATGCGTCCTTTAGAACTGTTCCAGAGTCACTGCTCCTTTGATGCCCTTTTCAGAGAAACTAGCACCCTTACCTTTTGAGCAGTCTTCCATGAGTGGTTCTGTTCACTTTAGCCCCACGTAATCAACCTCTCTCACTGCCACATACCTTTCTTGCCACTTCTACAGCTGTAATGACCTCATTGTGCATTTGTTGTTTATATGCTTTTGTGTCTTCCCCGCTAGAGTGGAAGCACAGTGAGGGTGGGAGCTGGAACGGATCACTGTTTTATACCCAGAGCTTTGTTTGGTGTCTGGAGTATAGAGGATATCAGTAAAGGTTTGTTAAGCTCAGTGTTGAGGGCTATGAAGGCTCAGAGGAAAGGCATAAACCCAGCCAATCATTGAATTAGGAGGGGTTTCAGAGGAAGATACGTCTAAATTGAGACCTGAAGGGTAACTGCAAGTTAGCTAAGCACAGGAAGAGGGCAACCCAGACCAAAAATAAATAATAATAAATAGTATGGACAAAGACCCATATTGAGAAAGAGGGTCCATGGAAAGACAGGCACAATGATCAGCTGTGCCTTATGCTTACCATGCCCAAGAATCAAAGCAATGGGATCAATAGAAATGTATACACACACGTATATAAGAGAGGTGAAACTTTAATTTTGAGAAGTTTAATTAGATATAATAAAAAATCACCTCCATCAACCTGTAAAATCCTTAATATTTAGCCCAAAGCCCTCTATCAGACTAAACAACATTTCCATTAACTTTCTCATTATCTTCATTTTCCTCAAGTCAAATTTTAATTTTTTGTAGCTTTTTTCATTCTCTGTTTTAACTCTTGGTATTTCTTAAGACAGTCCCACTATAGATAGTATGTTTATTTAAGCAGAGAGATGTGAACCTAACCAACCATCTTACATGAAATTATGTACAGAAAAACGGTGGCAAGTTCCAAACACTCAACTTAGAGGTGAACATTTAGAAAATCACCTGTTTCTAAGTGGAGGTTTTGGGTGCACAAGGGACAATTTGCAGCAGAATGTGGTAAAAGGCGTGCTGGTCTTGGAGCCCAAACGTCTATGCCATTCACTTCACAAAGTTCACGAGACTCTCAGTCTCCTCGTTTGTTGAATGAGATGCATTATATCTGCTTTATATTCTTCATAGGAATTCCCAAGATTAGACTCTATATTCGTAAAAATGTATCACCTAACAGACTAGATAGGACTGTATTTAGTTATAACACAAGGTCATTTTCTGCTGTAGATATTTTTGTGTTAGAAAATAAAAAATCAAACAAATACAGCAACATTATATATGCAAAAATATGTCCAGCAATTTAAGTTAGTAAAAGTAAAACTATACTTACGAAATACACAGTGTTAGTTTGTCTCTGTGTCTGTGGCATAACCACGGCCAGTGTGTTTCTATGGAAATGGCCGTTTGCCTCATTAGCAGGAGGATAATACCCGCTGTACCCATTTTGTCCCGTAGAATGATTGAAGATAGCGGGAAAAGAGGAAACACCATGGCAGAAAGAAGACAGCTGTTTGCAGAGATGAGTAAGTACAGAACTTCCATGGAAGGCCCTGCCGTGGCCATTGAATATACATGAAATTCTATGACCCGGGTACTTTTATTTAAAATCCCAAATCTCTTTGCATAAAATGTAACTTTGAGCATTTTTGCCTCCTAGAAGGGAAAAGTTAAATTAGTGAAATATCACAATGTGTTACTACACTCTGTATTTTATGTGAAGGAAAAGTTTCATGGACCTAAATATATGTATATGTACACACATACACAACACTTTAGAAACACTATTTAATGTTGGCGTTTAATAGAGTCCACTAAACTTCAAAGTCTGGGTTCATCTCTCTCCACTGTCAGTGTCCAGCATGTTGTAGGCAGTGATAACATTTGTGAAATGAATCATTGAATGTCTCATCTACTGCATGATGGCATGTGTTTCTATGGGAAAGAGGAGTCCTGTGTGATTACCAGGCCAAACTATATGCTGTCATTTAGACTTCGTGCCGTAGGGAAGGGTCTGTCCCACAGACCAGTCTCTAAAAAGATGAAAAGTTAAAAAGAACCCACACGCCCTGTTAGCATGGCTCAGTAATTGAGCATCAAACTATGAACCAAGAGGTCATGGTTCGATTCCTGGTCAGGACACATGCCTGGGTTGCAGGCTCGATCCTCAGTGTGGGGCATGCAGGAGGCAACCGATCAATGATTCTCATCATGGATGTTTCTCTCTACCTCTCCCTTCATCTCTAAAATCAATAAAAATATTTTTTAAAAGAGCCCCCGAGGGCACCTGCTATAGAGGGAAACCAAGCCAAGACTGACTCCATTGGAGAACCCATGAAATAGAGGCCATTGGTTTATGTATATATATGGTTGTAGTCGATAATGTCTCCCTTGTAGACCATGTTTCTTATTCATAAGGAAGAAGAACTTGACATTGGAAGGAAAGCACACATCTCAAATGAAAAGTTATGAAGAGAAAAGTACAGTTCTCTTATTGTCTTTTGATCTCTTTTTTCCCCGCATAAGGAATGAGGATGAGCAGAAGTGAGTGGTAAGCCTTTTTCCCTGAAAAGGCAGTAGACAAAAATTAAGTTTCTACTGAAGATTGGAACTGATTGGCAAGAATGAGGGTCAGAGCAGATAAAGAAAGTCCCGGATAATAAGATTCATATTTCCCTTTATCATTTCCCAATAATTGGGTGACACCAAGACAGTGTTGGAACTAACACAAAGGAAAGAAACTTAAAATTGAGATGGGGAATCTCAATCATGCTCCTTGCTTTTTCCACTTTTGGAAACATGTCTGCAGTGCCTGAGAGTGTTTCCGCCATGACCTTCCAATTTGCTAGGCCATGTTTGGTACTGTGTCTTCATTTCTGGCATGGCCGGTCACCTGGACTTATGACCTTATTGATACAGATCTAACAGAGCAAGGAACCTCGTTACTGCCTGCCCATCTAAACAAAATACAAGGCAGCACAGATATCCTCCCATATCACAGGTTCTTAGACTGAAAGGGCAGGAGCCAGGTACATCATGTTTTGTTACAGAAATTTAAAAAATTCAATATTTAACATAAAAAAACAGTAAAGTCTTAGGGGAAATGTTTGAATTTATTGTTACATTAAAGACTTTATTGGCAAACACACTGTAAGAATTATAAACGTGTACTTATTTAATGATTTTTAAAATACTTACCAAAGGTTAAGTGCCTTCTCCCTGGTGCAGTGCTGAGTACAGAAAAATGCATATGTCACACATGACTTTTGAGTTGAAGTTGTCCAACTCAAAGAAAGATCAACATAACTTTTATAGCCAAAGAAAGAGAGAGAGTTCTAAATTTTTCAAGTTGGGAGAGCTCCTTCAGTGATTACATTTCAAAGGGATGGCTCCCAGGTCCTAGGAAGGATATAACTGGGCTATAAAACTGGCCAGAAACTGGGAATTTATGTCTCAATGGGGCAGATAACGAATTTACAATGGAAAGTTTTCTAAGTAAAGGCTCTAAGAAAAGGGAGGTCAGAGGCCTAGAGTCAGGAAGAAGCCTGTCTAAAGTTTAGTCAAGCTGAGGGGAACATTAAGGCATATTGGCTTTATAAAGGCCAAGGGCAGAAAATAACAATTAATAAGAAGAACAATTGATAAGAAATCCTGGCAAATTCAGGTGATTGCAGCACATGTGCGTAACACATCTACTCTGAGCTCATAACCACAAGCAGAAAGTAGAAAGAAACGGCAAAGAAATGAAATTAAGAGTAACGTGGACTCACTAAAACAGCAAAATAGACTAGCCTTACATATAAAAACAACAACAATAGTAACTCCATGGCCACCTCCTTGATTAAAGAAATTCTGGGCAAGCTGCCCTTAAACCAAAAAGCACCTTCAGTATAATGCCCTAATGATCAGTTTAGCTAGTACCTTAGACGAAAGCTGAAAAGACTGCTTAAATGTAAATGTCATTCTCACCTTGGCCTTTCCAGTCATTGAATAAGTTTATCAGCTTAAATAAGTTTATTAACCTGGATTTTAGCAGAATCAATAGTTTGTGCTTGGAATTAAGCTCACCTTCTCTGTTTTCCTGCTGTCAGAGCACATTTACTCCGCCTTGTGTGACACGCGCTTGTGCGCATATCCACGTCACTCACCATGAGCTCCTCCGTAGGGACAGACCCCGGACGTTTACCTTCAAATCCATTCCCCTGGGTGCTGAACCAATGTTGGTTTAAAAGCCTCCAGGACACAGGATAGGTAGGTTTTATTGAGGGGAAACTGATTGGAAAACATTCTTTCCGAACTTGGGAGGCTTCCTAACAAGAGAAGAAAGGTCTTAGCCAGAAATCGAAGGGTAAATGTGGGCCCTCAACAAGCACTGCTGAATTGTCTGAAGGCAGTCTTTCCTCAGAGTGCTCACTACAGTCAGCGGGTAAATAGTTTGAATGGAACCCAGAGCGTGTTTCTGCAATGCACACTGTGAGTTAGGAAAACTGACTTCAAAAATTCAGAAAAATGACATGAGTGTTGCTACTACCATAGGCCACAGTGGCTGCAATGACTATTTTTACTTACTTCTTTATCTCTCATGCTCTTCAGCCTCTTCAAAACGTTAGCACCATGGGTCACTATCCTGCAAATTCTCTCTTGTGTCACCACCACCCTGGTCTGGTCCTCTGCTTTTTCTGACCACATTACTTCTCGTTTCCTGTCTCTCAGTATCTTCCTAGCCATCTGAAGTCAGATTTTACCAAAGTTTTGTTCTTGACCAATTCTTTTCATATACAATTTGATTTTCTGTCAAGGCTTCACCATTGTTGTTTTGGCTCTAAGTGTCCAAGAATTCCATGCCCTAACTGGTTTGGCTCAGTGGATAGAGCGTCGGCCTGCAGACAGAAGGGTCCCGGGTTCGATTCCGGTCAAGGGCATGTACCTTGGTTGCGGGCACATCCCCAGTAGGGGGTGTGCAAGAGGCAGCTGATCGATGTTTCTCTCTCATCAATGTTTCTAACTATCCCTCTCCCTTCCTCTCTGTAAAAAATCAATAAAATATATTCAAAAAGAAATTCCTTCAGAACCACCTCTCATAGTCTCAGGGACCAGTTTATCCAGAGCAGCCAGCATATAAACACAGTGTCCCTTCCAGCCTTGCTTCCTCACAGTCAGAGCTTATACTGATGGAGCAGCTTAAGGTGGGTTCACTGTCAATTGCATTAATAGTGCCCATCACAAAAAAGCCATGTCCCTGCCCGGGGTTCTGCTTTCCAGTATTTTCAAAGTCATGCAGTCCTTGAACAACTACCAAACAGCGAGGCACTGTTCAGATCATGAACAAAAGATAGTGGTAACCCTAGACATTTCAACATGCTAAGAACAAGGATTGCTCTATTGACTTTACTTCCTTATTCATTTATTCAAATTCCATCTCTTTTTATAGAGGAATTAAGTCAGCTAATTTCCCTTTTTAATAAGGCTACTAGACTGTTAGCTCAGGAAAATATCATAGGCTAAAAATGGACCTTAATCTCATCAAGACACTAACAAAGTCTCTTAAGTTGTGCATGTGTTGGAGAAACATGAGCTGGATCACCATACAATTAGGGAGATTTGCAGGTAGTGTTATGACCATGTCTAAAGGGTAAGTAATGGGCAGTCAACCTGGAGGGTGGCCCCTAGAAGGACCAGAAGACTCTTCTGTGGCCCTGTCAGGCCCTTGGTTTTAAGCAATAATTTGGACACAGAAGACATGCAGCTACTCCCAGGTAGGCTATGAATCTATAGATTTTCAAGAAGAGACTGCACATGTAAACTTGAATTAAGTGTATGGTTTATTGGGGCAGAGATAAATACATTTATTTTGAGCAAGAGCCTGCACGCCATACGTCAGGTCAGAGGTGGGGTTTTTTGTTTGTTTTGGGGGTGGTTTTTTTGGTCCCAGAACTCATTATGGATCTTGTGTTTTCCGCTTACATTGTCTGTGCAAGGTAGTGTGCTGCTATATCTGAAAGGCTAATTTTCCTTGCTCACCACAACCCTATTAATATTGAGGCCTTACATCCTCAGCCAAGAAGAACATACACAAAAAGGAAACACTGACAGACCTATAGATCTCTTCCTGATTCTTAAATAAAACAGAGGGTCCGTTAAGTCCACATCGTGATGGGGCAGGTGAGCAGTCAGTGCATTCCTGTCCCTACGTATCAGCTCTCCTTCCCTCTTCCTGCTCCTGGAGAGGCGCACCTGCCCCACGTTACCAGGACCTCTATGGGAGGGAGGTGCAGAGGAGCCAGGGTTTCTCTGCTCAGAGGCTAAGGTCTTGATAGAACTAAGAAATTGAACTGTGTGCTGCATCATCATCCTTTTCTACCTGGGGCTTAAATCATTATTCTTGAAAAACTTACACAAATAATCTATGTCCCTAATGACTTCTTCTAAAGGATTATTTACAGATATTGAGACTTCCCTAATGGTTGAGCCAAAGTCTGCATCAATAAAATGATAACCTCATCCAGGGGAAAAGGCAGATTTAGCATCCGGGTATTTCTGATCATTGCTCTGCCTGGTTATCCAGTATCTGTGAGCCTCTCAGATGTAGAGAACCTGAAACTGGGAAGCCCCTTTGAAATGCCAGTGAGAAAATAAAATTTTTAAAAATATCAGAAAGGTTAGAAACATGAGCTAAAAAAAATAAAAGAAACGAAGTATGAAATCCTACCTGTAGCCCCCACCCCAAATAAGCATTTAAATTGAAAATAGGGAAAAATCTGACTTAATATAAGTACATATGATTTTTTAAAAAATAGCTTCTTAATAAACTACAAGCTTACCAAGAGCCCAAGAATGAATTGCATTAGTAGGTGTCCTTATCAAAGGTGATAGTAGTTGCTTCCCATATTCTATACAGGTTGGGTTAATTTTGTAGATCTTGTGTCAAGGAGATACTAGCCAGTCATGGAACAGGATGATGAGAATGGTTAGGGCCCCAAATCTTTGCCTGATGATAATGAGAATAATAGCCACCTCCATGTATGGAAGCCAATTGTGTGTCATGCTCAGTGGTAGACATTGTGCTTCAAATGGCTGTGCAGTTGAACCTCTTGGACCTGAAAAGTCAAGGAGAAGCTGCCTCCCCAGCTAAACCCTAAACTCGTGATAACAGGGCCTTTTGTACATGCTCTTCAGATGGTAATGAAGAGGCTAACAGTGATCATGGCAGTGGCTTCCCATTGTTTGAGAAGTAAATTCTCAAGTGCCAGGAGAGGAGATTAACTAGGTCAAATGGATTGAAGTTGCAGAAAGGCAAGTTAAAATCAAATGCAAAAAAGAAAATTCTGTCACTTGTTGTTGCTCATAAATGGCACAGGAGGCCCATCTGCTTGCTGTAAAGTTCTCGCTAGGTGCCAGCTACGTAGGTTACCAGCCAATAAAGTTGATATTATCCCCCTTTTACACATGAGGAAATAACTTTTAAAACTTGTCAAAGTTCACACAGCAAGTCCATTTATTTTTACTATGTTATAATCATCCCTGTCATTGCAAATAATCCTCATGGCCATTGGCTAAAATGTCTACCTCTGGAGAACATGTGGAAGGGAATTTCTCGATTGCCCCTTTGATCCTTCAAGTACCCGGTATCAACGAGCCTGTTTGTCAAGTAATAAACTTCTGTAAGAATTAATATTTAATTACATGTCTTATTAAACCATGGAGTAATAGGAGTAGTGATAGTGTTTTTAGTGTTTTTAAATGAATCTAAAGAGATCCGTTTGAGTTGAGGGAATGCTAAACGCTCTCAGTGAGGGACACTTGCTCATTCATCCTAAGTTTCATTAGGAGAGCGAGTAATTGGTCACCTAATATAATTACTTTCAGGCCAGTTCATTTACTTGCTACCCTAACTATTATATTCAGAAGCATCTACGGAGCACTTTTACTGGTGCAGAGAAAGTACAACACATGTCAAAACCAGGTATGGGCCTTTGTATCTGTATGAACCAGAAGCACGGGTTTCAGTGAAGCCAAAGAGTTAGAAGCAGAGAAGAACTGACCTTTGTTGAAAGTCTCCTGTGTCCCAGACACAGTCTAGAGATGAACCCATTTGGGGGAAACAGGTTATGTAACAAGCAGCCGTCTGCAAGGGGAGGTCCTGGGGTAGAGTAGTGGGGACTCTTGTTGGAAGATAGGAAGGAAAGAGCTTGCAGAGGAACTTAGATTCTGAGCAGAGGAGCATTCTGACTGGGTGCTGTGGGCATCTTGAGCCACGCGGGATTCCTGAGTGGAATGAATAGGGAACACAGCTCAGAAACATAGGGAGCATGTTCCTCTTTGTCAGGAAGGAAAGGGAAGGGAAGCCACGGTGGAAGAGTAGCGGTTGTTTTCAGGAAGGAGTCTCCTCCGAGGTTGGCAGGGAGACTGCGGTGAGATGCGGGGAATAATAGTGAATACCTGCACAGCACTCCCCGAGCGCCAGGCAGTGTTCTCGGTGCCTTGGGTAGAGTCATTCATTTACCCTGACAGCGTATGACGTCAACAGTAGTGGGATCCCCATCCCTGTCTTCCAGACGAGATAACGAGGACTTCCAAAAGCATTTGGCCTCAGGTCAAGCAGAAAAGATGCCCAACATTCGGCAGGTGCCCACCACAGCCTCGGTCTAATGACCAATGACAGCGCGTTTAAAATGGTGACGATGACATTACTATCGCTACCATCTGGCTGTTCAGGTTGCAGCTTGAGCAGACTGTGCTCCCTCTTGGCAGCCTCTGCAGGGCTGAGGTTGGGTGTCTTGGCCGGTGAACACGGTTGACAACCTGACCTTCAGCGTTGATTACATGTGCTCTCTTCTCATAACCTGAGGGATGCGGGACAGACCTTTTCATGTCTTCAAGTTATATTTATGTTCTAATAACAACAAAATTAAGTGCATGGGTTATATTTATAGTTGTTTTCTTTAAAAATGTTATAAATTCCCTTCCACGCACATGGCATACCCTATGTGTACGTTTCCCCCACAGGAGCTCAAGAGCTGGATCGAATCCGACTCTCTACCTACAGAACAGCATGCAAGCTTCGGTTTGTTCAGAAGAAATGCAATTGTGAGTATGCCAGTTGTTTGCAGTAATTACCTTCATGAGCCCTATCATTGACACTCATTACTTAGTTTATTAAAACTAGGTTTTCTTGTAAGAATTAACAAAAATATGTTTACACAACAATGAAAAGAATGTTATGATATACAAATGATAGTGAGACAATGCCTAAGTAATTCTTACGGCTTAATTACTCTAAACTGCTAAGGTATATTCCATCCTGCCGTTGGAGTGGTTAAAATCTGGAGGGATGTTCTTCTTCTCTCCAGCCTGGGTGTTGCAAACGCAGTGCCATCCACATGGTTTCCAAGACCTTTGTAAAATATCAAGCACGACGTCCTCCTTCTATTTGTGTTTCCTTTACAAGTATAGGAAAATGTTTCTAATCTCTGGAAAACAATCCAGTTTCTTTTTGAAACTAGAAAATTTACCCTTTGTATCAGAATACTAACTATACTTGCCAGGATTCAACAGTAGCAAGAGAAGAGACAAGAATACTGAAAGAAACAAAGGAACTTGCGTAGCTTTTCCCCTGATTTTAAAATGTAAGCTGCGGGGGTAGATCACTAATCACGGTGAGCAGGTTCATGTTCCCTGCTGGGTCAGTGCTTCCGTCATATTGCCACATTGATTACCTCTTGGAAATATTAATACTTTGTTTTAAAAACAGACTGCTATAAAAAATTAATAACTCTTCTCATTTTCTAATTACTATGGATGCCTTAAAAAATGAAAACCATGTTATCTTGAGTGCATACACACAGTTCTTGAATAATTGCCATGAGGATTAGATAGTTGGTGAACAAAAAACCAGCCATGTCCACATCTCTACCCTCCCAGAGTCTCCCCCAGATGTTTCTTGGGGCACCGGGCAGGCCACCCCCAGCCCACACTTCTAGGCTTATTGCTAATCACGACTCAGGATAGGCAGTGTGCCGTCTTCCACGTGTCGCTCATCTGCAGCTGGTCCCCAGCCCCAGAGATGGGTCTGAAGTTTGGGGCAGGAGAAGAATGGAGGAAAAACATCAAAGACTTGTTTTGACTCCTCACAGAAGCTAAACCAATGCTCCCCTCTCCCCCCACCCCGCCCTCCAAAACAAAGGAGTGAGAGGAGCCCTCTGGCCTTGGGAAGGCATCTCTGGTTGTACTTGGAGTCTGGGTATTGCAGGCCTGGTGTTCAAGGCCAAGGAAAATGCTTCCCCAGAAGCAAAGCTTTCCCTCCCCCGCATCCTCATCATCCACATCATCCACATTTAAGCAAAAAGAGTCAAAGAATCGCCATGTTTTCAGCAATGAAAAGGTGACGGAGTCCTCGCTTTTTCTTTACCTCATTACCAGTGGCCCTCAAAATAGAAAGCAGGGGAGGGGAGTAGAGATAGGAGTTCTGTCTCCTCAAAGCATTGCCAAGCAGAGCTTCTCTTAGGTTATTTTCAGTAGAAGCAGGGAGTTTCAAAATGGCATTGCAAAATGGTAAGGATGAATAAGTGAGTGAATGAATGAATGAATGAATGAACAAATAAATAATAAAATAAATAAATGAGGTGGGAAGAAGGGAGAAAGAAAGGAAGGAAAGGAAAGAGGGAGGGAAGGAAGGGGAGAGGAAGGAAGGCTTATAGTGATTTGTCAACCCTGCACCAGCATTACAAAGGGCACACACTGTTGTCCCTAACTGGGTCCAGCAACCCACAGGCCGTATTTTATTCCTCCTTGTCTCTGATAAAGGCCATGTCTCCTTCTTGGGCATCTCTTCTTCCTCTTCCTATTCTTTTCTGGCGCTCATCCCTACCCTCTATCCAGAATCGTGGCATGGTTACACTGACATTCTTGGAAAACAGTTACTATCTTGAAAAATAGTGATAGTCCCTCCCTGGGTGAAAGAGAACCTTCACACCTGCCCAGTTGCCCGCCATGAGTCCATTCATTTACCTCTTAAAAAACTGAGAATGAACTCCATGTCTGCACTGTGCTAGGCACCAAGGACAGAGCGATGGGGAGTAAATGCAGTCCCTGCCTGGAAGCTGCCCGAAGTCTAAGTGGGTAGATGGATTTCTAAACAGACTTACAAAACAGTGTGGACATGTAATGATAAGAATTCGTACATGGCATGGTGGGAGCACCGGGAAGGCGGTGCCCTGACCTGGGTGTGGGGGCTGCTGAGAGGAGTTTCCTGGACAGGGAGACAACGGGACTGAATCTTAAAGAATTGGTAGACAGTAAGCAGAAAACGTGTGATTTGCTTTACAATGTACCTTACAAACTTTGTACATTTTAGGATGAGAAAAGCATTGCGTTCTACACAAACTAGACAAGACTAAGGCTCAAAGAAGAAATACAAGCTTATGTTGAATGCTCTGCTAAAATTAAGCTTCTTTTTCAAATTGTTTCCACGTTGATGCAAGTATTATATGTGTCTGCCGAGTTTTCCTTCCTGGCAATAAACAGAACAGTTGTGATATTGAAGTACTTCCAGAGCGCCAGCACAATTGAGCCGGGCTTATTCTAATCGGAGTTGGAGCTTTTCTTTTAGAGAGAGAACCAGAAGCACTGGTGTTATGTGACGTGTTCGTCAATATTAACTACCCCTGTAAGAGAGGGAGAAAATTGTCTGCAATAAAACCCAGCTCAAAGTAAATTATGGTACCTTATAATGGAATTTTACTCTACAATAAAAGAAATAAGAAAAAAAATCCAGATAGTGTATTTGTAACTGCATTGCTTTATTGGAAATTCATATGCAGTGTTTACTTCACAGAAATTGATAGACCTTAACTGAAAATGGCTTGTTCATTTTGAGGTCCGGACATTATTTACAGATAAAATTTATTTTGTGAATTACCAGAACCAAACTTTAAAACTGTGTAATGGAGGGGGAAAACATAAAAACTGACACTTGTAAAGTCACCCTCTAGGAAAAATAAATATTGTCTGGATATAGCATGGAGAGCATACATTTTTTATGAGATTTCTTTCTTATCTAAATTTAAAGATCAGAAGTGTTAATTCCCCACATTTTCTCTCCCACCGCCCTTGCCTGCTCGTTTATGGGGTCCCGTCTACAGCACCGATCCCCATCACTGACATCCATGCTCATTCTCTCTAACACAGTCCTTGTGGATGCTGAGAATTACTGATCCCAGTGTTTGCAAAGACTTCATAGGAGAGGCCAGGAAGCTGTGGCCTGTGGACTAATTGGGTCCAGCACCTATTTTTGTCTAGACTGTGAACTCGGAATACGTGAAGATTTATAACCAACTTGAAAAGAGAAAAGAGAACACTAATGTGTGATCCCAATCACGCAAAATGTTTTTCTCACAAAAAAAGGATTTCAGTTTGCTTATTGATAGATGAGCATTAAAAAAAATTGTACTCATTTATTATATTTTTAATTTTATCAAAATGTGAAATTTCTTTCCTCTTTTGGTATATACAGGGTGGAGTAAAAGTGGGTTTACAGTTATGAGAACATAAAACAGAGTTTATTCTTGTATTATTCTTTATTAATTAGTGCATTATTTTTCATAAGAACAACTGTAAACCTACTTTTGCCCCACCCTGTATATGCCAACATAATATCTACATAATATTAATTCATTATATGGTGGTGCCCCTCTACCCACAAGAAACATTTAGCATCCTCTGCTATAAAAGAAGAGTTATAAGAAGCTCCTTTTTTTTTTTAGTCAATAAATTCCTTCAATTTTGTCCATAGGATTTGTCTTCCAAATCAGCTTCTTTCCTCACCATTCATCTTTACACCCTATCATTCTCCCCCTCCCCACGCCGTAACTAGCGCATTCTCTAATAAAGTGAAAGAACAGATCTCTCTTGAAGTTAGGGACAAGTTGGCTGTTTCATTTTGCAGGAAAAATGGTGCAGAATGGAGAATACACATCCAGGCCTGATACTCCCTTCTAATCAACAGCCTTCTCTTTAACTTCCAGATTTCCTGGTAACTGTCCACGAAAATAAATATCCTGTGTACCACGTATAGGCATGTGTGCAATGGTAACGTTTCGGCCTTTACCTTAAACAAATGGCTTTTCTGCTGTCACAGTATTCCCTCGCTTGGCGTTGGCATGGTTAATGATCCAGATACCTGTACTGTCAGCACGTGTTTCTTTCAGAAATTACTTTAAAGTCAATGAAATGCAACCTTAAGTTCATGAACAACAAAAAGCAATGAGAGAAATCAATCAGAGTTCTACTCCCTCCTGTTTACAGGGAACAAAAGCAAGGAGACCGGGGGAGGGGGGGGGTGCTGTCCACCACAACTGACATTACACCATCTTCAGTTCCTCTGGCCACAGTCTCAAGTTTCTTTCTATCACTCCTATCGATTAAAATTTAATTAAAATTTTGTTTAAAAGGAAAGACGAAAAGATATATACTTGTATCTGAACTTTCAGTTTCTCAAAATATCATTCCTCCAGTAAACAAAGCATTTTTAAAAGTATCCCTCATCCAGCTATACTTTAGGGCAGCGGTCACCAACCAGTGGTCTGCGAACCACTGGTGGTCCGTGAGGTCCAAAAGGTTGGCAACCGCTGCTTTAAAGTATATCTGCTTTTGTCTTTAATAGCTCTAAACTTTCAGGATTTCTTATGAACCATAAAAGAAAAAATGCAGATACCTGTTTACCTAAAGGTTTCTCTCTCCCTGCAAAATTAACCCTAGCGAGTGCTATCCGTGTGGTAAGACCTGAATAAATATTCTTCTGTGAATGAACAAATAGGCTCCACTTTTCACCATCCGGGTGACTAGTTTTATGTTGCAAGAGTAGCCTTTTGGTGTTTTTTAGTAACAAATACTAATATTCTGTTCATGGTGGTTTTTTTTAGCATAGTCCTCTCTGCCTCATTTTTAAGCATGTGGATTTGGGGATGCCGATATCCGTTTTCTACCATTGCATAACAAATTGCTACACTTGGCAGCTTAAAACAACAAACATTTACTATCTCGGTTTCTGGAGGTCGGAAATCCTACACAGCATGTTGGATTCTCCGCTC